CTGGCAGAAACAGTGGTGCCTGGGCCTCGGGAACCTGGGCAGAGGCACCTGGAGGCCTCCGGGTGAGGCTGGGTGAGCGTGGCTTCTTGTAGGAAAAAGGGAGAGGTTTCGGGTCTGGACTGGGAGCCCGTGTCTCAGAGGACGGCATGCTGGGCTTCAGCCGGGAGCACACCGTTGGCAGCATGTGGGCCTTGGAACCCGAAGCTTGGGGCCTCTTGGGCACAGACGAGTGGTACTTAGAGGCATGAAGGCAGATGGCCTGACACGCGCAGCCGTGAAGACAGATGAGCAGTGGCACCAGCATGGCCCCAGGGCACCTCGGGGTCCTGGGAGAGGGGCTGATGTGGTGGCTTATGACATCAAAGAGACTGAACTGGGACAGACTCAGAAACCAGGAGTTACATTAGCACATGGTTCCCTGCTGCCCTTCCTGGGAGCGGCTGAGTTGATGGGAAAGGACAGTCCTGTCCTTGTGGATCTGGGGACGGGAGGGTTCTTAGCGTTGAGCATGCACTTCAGAGCAGACTGGCCGCCGTGGAGCTGGGTGGCTGGTCCTGCCCAGGCACCTTGCCTGTGCCCAGGTGTACATCTTGCCCTCGGTTTGTGTGCGCGCACCACTCGTTCGGGTGAGTCCCGTGGGCCTAGGCCGTGGCAGAGGCTGCCCTGGAACCCTGCTCTGTGGCCCTTGTCATTTCTGATGGGTGGGAGAGGGTACAGAGTGGTCTGCTGGCAGAACAGGTTGGACGTTGCCAGAACCTTGCTCGGCCTACTCCATGGCCCGTGACTGGCCACAGGCAGGTCACCCGTCTCATGGGCATCTCTCCCTCTAACTGAAGGAGGGACTGAGAATGCCGGCGGTTCACAGAGCTGTCGTGGGGGGACGAGATTAGTGTCATGGGCAGTGTCCACGGTCACAGATGCAAACGGACAGTCAGTGGATGGTCGGTGGGAGAGCATTTACCTTTGGGTTGTATTTACTCTGTGGGCCCAGAGAATAAATCTGGATTGAGTAATAACAGGATGCTGTTTTCCCCAGAGATTCCAATAAATCATTGAACTCTTCTAGGTTGAGCTTATTCTGAAGGTCAGTTCTGCCCCCCAAATTTGTCCCAAAGTCAAGCATGACCTTCAGGATCTGGCTCTGGAGAGCACTTTGGCCCAGGAGGGGCTGCAGCTCTGCGCCTGCACCTGGCACTGCCTGGCCTCGGCAGGGGGTCTGCAGAGCAGAGGGGTCCTCCGCTGGCCCCAGCAGCATCCCCGAGGGCAGGCAATGCCAGATGGCTGAGTGGATGGGCCGAGTGGAGGTGACCCTGAGGAGACAGGAGCCTCCAGGGCAGTGGCCATCATAGTCATGCGTGTTAATGGGGTGACCCCCCACAAGGGAGCGGTCCTGGTGGTGGCCCAGTGCGGCCCAGTGCGGGCACCTCAGGACCTTCACGTGCTGTGAGCCTGCTCTCGTCCTGCTGGCCTCTACCCGCTGCTCAACTCACTGCCGGTCACCATGATGTGATGCAGAGCGTGGCCCCTGCTCCTCGCTGGCCCACGAGAGGCCCTCCCTGAACACCCAGTGAGCCGTAGACACAGGACCACGTCACAGTGAGATGCAGGCAGCTTTCCTCCGGGTCCTGTGTTGGGTACGTAGCATGTGAGCGCCAGACCCCACGTCACACAGATCTCAGTCTGGTGACGAGGAGTCAGGTTGTGGGCAGTGACGTCCAGTCATGTGACAGTGTTGTAGTCATGTCACACGTCATGCAGTCACTTGTCACCTTGTCCTGCCGTCCCAAGGCACCTGGGTGGTTGTGCTGTATCTTGCACCCATGTGGCCACATGGCCAAACAGGCAGGCTATGGTGTGGCCACGTGAT